TGAAATAATTTTGTATATTATATGTCGTTAAATTTATCCGAGCATAAATTATAAATTTAAATGAGAAATGCTTTAATTTAAATGTTTTAAAGGAAAAATAGAAATAATCTTTTCTTAAATCTCTTCGAAGCAATTGTAGAATTACATTGGCTATAGAATACCCTTCTCGCAAAGAATTAACTTCGATCCACAATACATTTTTAAATAATTACATGACAAGATTGAACTGAATCGCTCTAGATAAAAAAGAAATAATCCGTTTTTTCTACAGAAAAGTAAACTATATAAAGTTAATTTCATATAAATCATATATTTATATATACTTTAATGGTAGCATTTAACAGCGCTCAATACACATTTTTATCCTTTCTCTGATTGTGAGCATACTACGTTATCATTAATATTCATTGGTATCAGGCAAATGTTTCATTATCGCGAAATGTAAACGAAGTATTCCAATTTAAAAGAGTAATAATGACAAGTGGCACGAGAATCTGTAATGTATGCATTAGATGTGCTTTAACATTTTCATCGGTTAATAATTAATTACACATGGATAAACTCGCGACTAGGAAAGTTGAAATTATCACACGCCAATCGATGAAAAGTCGAATAAATTTTTTATGTTGTTGTACTATATGCTTTTGCTATTTACTCTGTCCGATATGCAGCAGTTAATACGCTAACGTACTCGTGAGAAGAAAATGTTACACCGTCTTTCCATTTATTCTCTCGCGTAATATTATTCTCAGCACAATTGACAATTGCAATTTGTAACATTAAATTTCGTTTATAATCGAAATAAATATGAAATCAAGTAGAATACAAATTCGACATAAAATATCAATCGCAAATGCTAAATGTTGGAATATTTTGAAAAGGCAAGCTACCGAATTTTGCAATAACACTGGATTACATGGTTATAAATACATCAGTCAAACTCAACGTTCCAAAATAGAGCGGTATGTGTAAACTTTCTAATATATTATAATTTTAAACGTAAATTGATAAATATAAAATATAAAAACATACATAATTTATCAAGATATTATGTGACTAAAACTTTTTCATATTTTTAATACTTTTTAGTATTTACTTATCAAAATAGTGCACATTAACCCTTCGTTGTCACACCTTTGTAAAGTTTCATTTGATCGAGTGATAACACCTTTGTAAAGTTATGACTCGATCAAATTGGACAGTTGATGCTGACATTCTAAAACTATCTGTTTGATATAAACAAAATGTGGAATATACTTAAATATTATAAAATATGTTTTATTAATGGTAACGTTACGAATTAACTAACAATATATTTAAAAATTCTTGAAGACACACGCGTAAAAAAATGAACTGTAAAAAATCATAACTTTTTCATTTTTTAAACTTTTTTAGTTAAAATTTTAGGGTGATACTATTAAAATGTAGTACTTTCAAATAAAAATGTGTACTGGGTATATCAAAAAAAATTTTTTTTTTTTCGAGACGTGTGTGTGTGTGTGAAGAGAATTATTTTCTCTTTAAACAACTACCACACATGTATTGATACTTTTTTGAATAGTCTGTCTCAACTGACAGAAGATACTTCAAATTTCTGATTCGCATAAGGCTCGATTACGAGTTACGCCATAAAGTTATAGAGCCTGAAAATCATTTTGACCAGCGCGCGTGGTAATGATAGGTTATTAATACAAGGGGAATACCTATATGTTAGTTAATAAATTTCTTTTAATTTATTAGGTTAATTTTTCTTCAAGCTCAATTTTTTTAAAACCAGATAATATATATCCGTTTTTTTAATTAAAAATTTAACTTTAAACGGATATTAAATTAAAAATTTAATAGCCATTTAAAATTACTCCGTCGTAAATATATATTAAAACTTTTGCAGAAATAAATAATATGTATAAATAATAATATATTAGCTCTATAACCAATTAATAAAAATCTTTAAAATTTAAATTTAACTTCAGTGTTAACAAAAAATTAAAAATCTGAAAATAATTAAATCTAAAAAATGAAATACCTATAATATGAAATATGGGTTAAATTTCAAATTTCAAAACGTGCAATGTGAGTAATTGTGAGTGCTAAACGAGTATTTTATACTCATAGCTAAAAATACGTTTTTATTTCAAATTTAAACAGCACGTATTTACTCAAAAATACTCATAATGTATACGTTATTATCACTCGGATATATTCATATGCAATCCACTTGCACCACTCGTTTTACGGAAAAATTCCTATTTGCGACCTAAAAACAGAATCATACTCATTAAGTGAAATGAACGTTTTTACCACTTTTCACCTTAAGCCTATTCTACAATGTGCTTTTTGTTTCTTATTTCTTGCCTTTTGCTATTTTTTGTATCTTGCCTTTTTGCTTCTTATCCCGTTTTTCGTTTTCTGTTGCTCAAGATAAACGTTAACGAACTTCAGAAAAAACAGAAAACACATATCAAGAAATATAATTGTCGATAAAACGATCACAAAGAAGAAAAAAGCAAAAGGTAAAAACCAAGAAACAGAAAACAAAGCACGTTGTAGAACAACCATTAAACTAACCGTTTGCTCAGGCTAAAAACGGGCTGAAAACGGTGAAAAATTTGTATTTAATAGGGTATATACATCCCCAGATGTAATACATATACAATAAGTGTTTTTTTAAACATAAGTTGATTTAGTTTTTACATACATATAATATTTGTTAAGTTTTTAATTAGCTCTCCTCTTTTATATAGCGCTTTTATATAGTGCGCATTATATACAGGGTGTTTCCAAATTAAATGGCAAAACTTCGGGAGCGTGTAGAGGAGTAAAAAACTAAGAAAAAAAGTCCTATAGACATATGCTCGTTTTTGCTCCGTTTCAGAGAAATCGAAAAAAAATGTTTACATTTCTTGCCATATCTAGCACCGACATATTTGATTACATTTTCCACTTTCTGTTATGAATTTGTCAGTCGCTCTTTGAAAGCCTTTAACAGTAGATGAATTTTGTCTTTTGCAATATGCCGCGTACGTATTCTAATAGTGAATATGCTGATATGGTTTTTGTATACGGTTTCTGCAACGGTAATGCTTTAAAGGCGGTGCGAGAATATGCACGACGATTTCCAAACAGAAGAGTGCCAAACCGAAGAGTGTTTATGTTGACATTTAATAGATTGCGAGAGACTGGA